ATATTCAGCAGTTGTATGTGGAATATGTCATAGAAGGCTATTTGATGAGTTTGATTTTTTTTGTAGGATCTGACCTATTTAACACAGTACTGTTTTTTGGGGGTTTTTAGGGTGGTTTTTTTTTTTCCTTTTTCTTGCATATGCCAAGCCTTAGCCACAGTATAAAAGAAAGCCATAATCCTGTTAAAGGCTTCTGGTTTACAGGAAAGGTAGACACAAACTTATGTGGCTTTTACCATATAGTGATAGCTGATATATTACAAAGTGCATCACATTGATTTTTTTTCCCACTAAACACAAGACTAAACATTCCATATTTTTAGATAAGAACTGTGAGGTCTGCTTGAGAATGTGAAATGATTTACACCAAAGTATGCCATGAGATGTGGCTGCAGAGTCCTTGTTTAATTGTCCTGTCTGTAGACTCCTTAATTTTGATAAGTCTCAGATGTTAATGGTGAGGCTGAGGAAGTGGCTCAGTGACAGAACCTTTAGCTAGTATGTGCAAGGTCCTTGTTTCAGTTCCTGTGATCATCATCATCATTGTCGTCATTATTATTGGAGAAATAGTCTCTGTGAAATTCTACCTGGCCTGGAATTGGCTTTTTGTACCTCCCAGGTACTGGGAATAAAGGCTTATGCCACTACATTTTGCCCCAGTTTTTAACTTTTACTTATTTATTTATTGGTTTTGTTGTTGTTATTTTATTTTGTTTTGTTTTGAGACAGGGTGGAAGGCTGTGTCCTCTCATTATACATACAATAAGAAATAAAGTTTGAAGCCGGGCGGTGGTGGCGCACGCCTTTAATCCCAGCACTCGGGAGGCAGAGCCAGGCGGATCTCTGTGAGTTTGAGGCCAGCCTGGGCTACCAAGTGAGTCCCAGGAAAGGCGCAAAGCTACACAGAGAAACCCTGTCTCGAAAAACCAAAAAAAAAAAAAAGAAATAAAGTTTGTATATTTTTTTTTGTGTGTATCCATGTATATGTGTTTTATATGTGTATATATAAAGAGTTAAAGGCAGTTTTCTTTCTTTTTCTTTTTTTTTTTAAGAGAGGGTCTCAGTTTGAAGCTCTGGCTGGTTTAGAACTCATTTTGTAGGCCAGGCTGGCCTTGAACTCAAAGATGTGCCTGCTTCTGTCTGAGTGTTGAGGTTAAAGGCGTGTACTACTATTCCCAGCTCAGTATAATGATTTATAACATATATGATAGTTGTTGTTTTCTGTGTGTGTGTGTGTGTGTGTGTGTGTGTGTTTTCGAGACAGGGTTTCTCTGTGTAACAGCCTTGGCTGCCCCCGAACTCACTTTTGTAGACCAGGCTGACCTCAAACTCACAGAGATCTGTCTGCTTCTACCTTCCTACCTCCCTAGGGCTGGGTTCAAAGCTACCACACCCAGCTATGATGGTTTTTTTTTTTTTTTTTAATATGTGAAATAGACTTTTTTAAAATGTCATTTGAGCATCTTTTGCATTATAGGATGATTTTGGACACAAATTGGAAGAATTCATTGTGGAATTAGGTCTTCAAACAGCTCAGGTTCAGAACTGTTGTGTCCTTTATGAGACAGGTTCTTTCCTGAAGCAAATTAAGATACATTTACAAGTCCCCTTGTTTTCCCTTACTGTCTTCTCCATAGCATTTGTTTAGTGATTAGGTAGTTCATGGCAGTAGCACTTTCCCTGTGCTTCTAAAGCTCCAGTTCAACATGCTGCATCATTGCTGGGTCAGGCCTTTTGCTAGGAAGTTCTTTCTGATAAGGATTCTTTTGAACAAGGTGGGGGTGGAATGTGATTGAGAGCATAGGCTGAACTCCTATTCCCTTGACCTTTGCCCCTATTTTAGAGTTTATACTGACTTGTAGGCATTCTCTGTGGAGCCAAGAGTTTAGCACTTGTTTACAATTGATGAAAAGATATTTGTTCAGTTCTTGGATAGTCATGGATGTCTGTCATCTGGTGGGGTGCAGGGAATGCTAAAACATTTAAGTCTAGAAATTTGAAATGGATGACTAAGAAGGAATGCAAAAAAAAAATCTGAAGTTAGATTGTAGCAATCATTTTTTTCTGTGGAAGCAGTGTTGTGACAGACTATGTGTGTGTCTGTGTGTGATGCAGGGGTACATCTGCCAAAGCAAGTGTGTGAAGGTCAGAGGACAACTCTGTGGAGTTGATTATTTCCTTCTGGCTTTAGGTGGGTTCCAGGGATCATTCTCATGCTTTTACCCACTGAGCCATCCTTCTGGCCCTTATGTTATGAATTATTAGGGGGGAGGGAATCGGAGGGTATCCTGTGCATGCAGGGAAACATGCATCCACGTGGAAAGTTTATTATAATAGAGAGATAGGAAAGATAGAGAGGTTGAGGGTGCACATCTCGTGGAAGGAAAACTGGGAAGACCAAGGAAGGGGAGAAGTTTTTCCTTAGAATGAAGCTTTTATGCCAGGACAGGGTGGCATCAAGGGGTGGGATTTCAAGAGGCGGATCAGAATATTAACACCTCATACTTCTTTATTTTGGTTTTTCGAAACAGGGTTTCTCTGTGTAGCTTTGATGCCTGTCCTGGATCTCGCTCTGTAGACCAGGCTGGCCTTGAACTCGGAGATCCTCCTGGCTCTGCCTCCTGAGTGCTGGTATTAAAGGCGTTCACCACTGCCGCCTGGCAACACCTCATACTTTAAAAAAAAGCTGAAAATGGTTCTTTGAATTCAAAACCTTGGTATCAGAATGCATGAGAATTTTTCTCTTCTTGTTTTGGTTTTTTCACTTTGAAAATTACACTGGCCTCTTAACTCAGAGTGATCTGCTCATCTACCTACTAGGTGCTATGTTTACAGGGGTGTACTCCCACACCCACTTCGCAGTTTTAACTCTTTAAAGTAAAAGTCTTGCATGATTAAGAAAAATGGAATAAATTTGCTCTCTTTTCAGCTGACAAATATTTGAAACTGTTCTGCTAGATCAAGCCTTAGTTCCAGCTTCTCACTTAGAGCACAGGTTTCATATTCAGATTATATGCCTTCATGCTTATCCCTCCTTCCCCCCAGTTTTTATTTATTTTGTTTTATTTTATTTTTTGAGAAAGGATCTTATGTAGCCTGGAATGATCTGGATACCCTATGTTGTCAAGGCTGGCTTTAACTCGATTTTATTACCTTAGCCTCCTAAGTGCTAGAACTACATGTGCCAGTCACTGTGCAAGACCAGAATTCCCTTATATTGAAATTGCTATGCAGAAGGGACTCTCTAAGAACCTAGAATAGGTCAGTGAGATGGCTCAGCCAGGTAAAGTGGCTTGCTGCCAGGCCTGGCTATCTGAGTTCAGTATCTGTAACCCACATGGTGGAAGGAGAGAACCAACTCCCTCAAGTTGTCCTTTGACCTACACATGCACACCTTTACATGTGCATGCACACTGTGTAAACAAAAATTTAAAGCTTAGAATAATGTTTTTGCTGGGGCTGGAGAGATGGTTCAGTGGTTAAGAGCATTGGCTGCTCTTCCAGAGGACCCGAGTTTAATTCCCAGCACCCACATGATGACTCACAACCATCTGTAAAGAGATCTGGTGCCCTCAGGCATACATGCAGGCAGAACACTGTATACATAGTAAATCTTTTTTTTTGTTTTTTGTTTTTTGTTTTTCGAGACAGGGTTTCTCTGTGTAGTTTTGCGCCTTTCCTGGAACTCGTTTTGTAGACCAGGCTTACCTCGAACTCACAGAGATCCACCTGCCTCTGCCTCCCGAGTGCTGGGATTAAAGGCGTGCACCACCACTGCCCGGCCTATAATAAATAAATCTTAAAAAAAAGGGGGGGGGGGAGGCTGGAGAGATGGCTCAGAGGTTAAGAGCACTGACTGCACTTCCAGAGGTTCTGAGTTCAATTACCAGCAACCACATGGTGGCTCACAACCATCTGTAATGAGATCTGGTACCCTCTTCTGTATACATAATAAATAAATAAATTAAAAAAAAGAATAATGTTTTGCAGTGTCTACTTATAAACCCACTTCTATTTTTTAATCAAGCCCTCAGAATTGGCCTCCTTTTTTGTCAGGAGGCTTGAGCTAGTACTGGAAAGAATCAATGGAGGTTGGCCTTGGTGGCAGTACACATCTTTAATCCCAACAGAGTCTGGTGGCTCTGTGATTTCAAAGCCAGCCTGGTCTAGATAGTTAGTGCTAGGCCAGTGAGGGCCACACAGTAAGATCCTGGCTCAAAGTAAATGAATGAATGAATGAATGAATGAAAGAATGAACCCGGCGGTGGTGGCGCACGCCTTTAATCCCAGCACTCAGGAGGCAGAACACACAGGAGGATCTCTGTGAGTTCAAGGCCAGCCTGGTCTACAGAGTGAGTTCCAGGACAGGCTCCAAAGCTACACAGAGAAACCCTGTCTCAAAAAGACCTTTTTAAAAAAAAAAGAATAAATAAATAAATGGAGCATTCAGTAGCTTTTAAAATGACCTGGGTTGTACTGGCAATTGCAGGATTAATTACAAAAAGTGACCCTATTGGCATGCATCATATAGTAGAAAATACATAAACTATAATCCCAGAACTTGGAAGGTAGAGGCATGAGAATCAGTAGTTCAAGATTATCTTGGGATGCATAGTAAATTCCAGGCCAGCCTGAAATACAGGAGACCCTGTATCGAAAACAAACAAACAAAAAACTGGAAGTTTGCATGTTGAAGTGTGCTACTACCAGTGAAGCCTGGTTTCTTCATCCATAAAACTGTAACAACTCCTGCTAGGTGTCTTTGTAACCAAATAAATAATGCAGTATTATTGAATTACCCATTAGTTATTTACAGCATTTACCCACTAGTTATTCCTGCTGCTTTTTCCTTGGCTGAAATTTGGGAATAATATTTCTAACAACTTCTTTGTTAATATTTATTGAGCATTTACTGTTTTATATCATTAAAGTCTTATCTTGTTTACTTTTCCTAGCATCTCTGTGAAGTTATTCTCAACTCTATCTTTTTCCTTTTGCAGATGGGGAGACTGACAGTTTAACACTTGGCCAAGGTCACACACCTGGTAAGTGGTGGAGCTGCTCTATGTGACCCCAAAGTCCTTGATCTTTTTAAAATTGAAGTATGAAATTTTCATACAAGGAAATGTTCCTATCTGAAAATGTAAATCCAAGCAGTTTCCACAAGTGTTTTGACCATTGTAGTTCTTTAAAATAACCTTTCAATCTATTACTCAATCCCTAAAACTTAATAACTTCTTACTTCTTGTTCTACAATCTCATATGCTTAGCTTCCTATGTTCACAAAGAACATTTGTTCTCTTGTGTCTTTCCAGCCCAATATTTTATAGTAATCCATAATGCAAGTGTTAATAGTTCATTTCTTTTTATTGCTGAGTAGTATTCCACTGACAGTATCACAAGTAATTCATCCATCGACACCTGGGCTGTTTCTAGTTTATTGCAAATAAAGCAGCTATAAAATTTCTTACACAAAATTTTGTATACGTACATGTACATTGATATGCTAAAGCATATTAGGAATTGATGGTGTATATGGTAGATACACATTAAAATTTTTATAGAGCTGCCAGTTTTCCAAAATGTTTTTACATTTTTATAGTTCTAGTAGCATGTAAATTCCTGTTTCATATGTTTGCAAGTAATTGATATTGTCAGGGTTTTAATTTTTGTAAGTCTAATGTTTTTAATCGGAATTTCCTCAATGGCCAGTTATGTTAGTAACTATATTATACACTTACTGGCTATTCATATATCATCTTTTTAAATGGTTCAAGTCTTGAACATTAAAAACATTACGTTCTTTGTCTACTTTTTGTATGGTTGGCATTTTTATGTTCTTGATATATGTAGTATGAATATTTCTTCCTGGTCTGTGGTTTTCTTTTTTCATGTTTTTTTGTTTGTTTATTTGTTTGTTTTGTTTTTTGTTTTCGAGACAGGGTTTCTCTGTGTTGTTTTGGTGCCTGTCCTAGATCTTGCTCTGTAGACCAGGCTAGCCTCGAAGTCACAGAGATCCTCCTGCCTCTGCCTGACAAGTGCTGGGATTAAAAGCGTGCGCCACCACCACCCGTCTCTTCTTTTTCATTTTTAACATGTTTTATAATGAATACAACTTTAATTATTTTGTGAAGTGTGGTTTTTGAAATCTTTTCTTATTGATTCTTATATCTTCACTAAAAAAAAAAAAAAAATCTTAGTCTAACCAAATTCCATTTTCTTTTAGAAACTAAGTTTTTTTTTTAGGGCTACATTCATGTCTGCAATTTTGGCATGTTTATAAAGTAGGAATCAAAGTCTTTTTCCTATGAAAATTTGTTTCTTCTAGTGTTGTCAAAGTCCTTCCTCAGTGAATATTTTGGAGATTTTCTTTAAAAAAATGTATGAGTCTTCTCTTTCGTTAATCCTTTTGAATCTTTTCACCAAAGCCACTGTGTCCTGAACTTTGTGGCTTTATAATAAATCTTGAAACTAGGGGTTTTTTTTGTTTGTTTGTTTTTCGAGACAGGGTTTCTCTGTGTAGCTTTGCGCCTTTCCTGGGACTCACTTGGTAGCCCAGGCTGGCCTCGAACTCACAGAGATCCGCCTGGCTCTGCCTCCCGAGTGCTGGGATTAAAGGCCTGCGCCACCACCGCCCGGCTAGGGGGTGTTTTTAAATCACCTCCATTCTTCCTTTCCCAAGTTATTTTGGCTTAGTTTTTTTTTCCCCCTTTCAAAAAACAATTCCATATAAAGTTTACAATCAACTTATTATTTTTTTTATTGTTTTTTGTTTATTAGCATTAAAAAAATTCAAAGCCAACAAAGCACCATACAGGATCCAGACACCCTGTGTATTTCCCATTTTTACATGGCTTTTTTCTTTTCTTTTGTTTTCTTTCTTTTTTTTTTTTAAAGCCAAATGCCATTTATTGAAGGAGGGAGGAGGTCTTAAATACAGCCTTACAGCACAATGGGAGAACCCCGGAGGGCAGAAGTTCACTACTGATGTTTTACAATCTTGCATCTAAGCTGTTAAAGCCCATTATTCCATATAAAGTTTACAATCAACTTATTTTTTAAAAAATTTTAAAATTACTGAGTTTTTTAATTGAATTGCACTGATCTCATCAGAAGAATTGTCTTTCTGCTTTTCAGTGCTGGGTAAACTCAGGCTTTTTCACCTGTGAGGCAAAGTGCTCTGTCACTGCATTCAGTACCTGGCTCAAATTGTCATCTTAATAATAGCAGGGCTTCTAATCCTTGCATTTAGTTTGTCTTTCTACTTAGTGTAGTATTTTCACTTTTTGTCATTAATGTTTTAAATGGATTAATGTTGACATCTGTTTTTCTTTAAAATTATTCTTATTCTGAATTTTAATGCTATTATGAATCAAACTGGTTTTAAAGTTTATCTGCTGAATTGTTAGTTGCTAGTGTAAAGAAATGCAATTGATTTTGTGTATTGAGTTTATATTGAATTTGCTAGTCACCTAAACAAATCTGTTGGGACTTTTGTGTGCACAACTATGAATAAAGACAGCCATATTTTTTCCTTTTTGATGTTTATGTTGTTTGTTTATTTTTCGTACTGTACTGACTAAGATTTCTAGTATCATGGTAGGTAGAAGAAATGGCAGTGATAGTCTTGTCTTGTTCTTAATCTTAGGTGGACCATGATCAAATATAATGTTAATTGTCAGGCCTTTTTCTTACATTTTTCATTTTAAATGTTTTTTTTTTTTTTTTTTTTTTTTTATTGTGTGCTTGTACATGTGTGTAATTGATACCAGGTTTTTTTTGTATAGCTCCTGGTGGCCTATAGCATGCCATGTAGCTCAGCTCAGCCTGGCCTCAAGCTCATAAATTGTACTGCCTCTGCCTCTTTAGTTCTGGAATTTTTGGCACCTATTACCATGTCTGGCTCTCCTTTGCATGTGTGTATGTGTGTGCACACGCATGTGTGGGTATCAGTTTGTTAAATTGTGTGCATGTGTAAGTCAGCAGCCAACCTCTGGTGTCAGTCCTCATTGTCTGCCTTGTTTGAGACCAAGGTCTCTGTTATTTTTCTACTACATATGTCAGACTAGTTAGCCTGTGAGCTTCTGGAAAGTCTCCTTTTTTGGCCTTCTATCTCCCTATAGTGGCATCAGGATTAAGATTCTTGTGCCACAGATCTGGCTTTCACATAGGTTCTGGTTATTTGAATTCAGGTCCTCAAATTATGTGGCAGTTGCTTTCTCCCATTGAGCTATTTCTCCAGGGCATGGCTCTCCTTTTATTTTTTTAGTTTGTAATAGAAAACAGGTGACATTTACTTTCATTACTTTTAAGTATGCAATTCAGTAGTATAGATTACATTCACATCAGTGTGTAATATCATCAGCATCCATCTACAAGAACTCATCTTATTTAGAACTGAAATTCAGACTGTATTAACAGTAACTTCCCATATCTTCTAGGACTTGTCAATCTACAAATGGAGCAGAATGGCTATATATGTGAGGACATATGTGGGCATGCTATTCTTTTGGTCTATATGTTGTTATCTCAGTTCCACAGTGTTTTTATTACTACAGTTTTGTAATAAGTTCTTTTTGTATCCATGAACTTTACCCCTTATAGATACTCCTGTTAGTGGATTCATAGTATTTGTCCTTTTGTGACTGACATTTCACTTAACATAATGCTCTCCAGATGTATCTGTAGTAGGCTTTCTTTTAGGCCACCAACCAGCTCCAAATCATGACACAGAGACTTATTAGGAATGCTCGGCTTTATATGAGCTCTTATTTTAATCTGTTTCTCTCTGTTTACATTTTGCCTTGGGGCTTTTTACCTTTCTTTCTTTCTGTATGTCCTACCTTCCTGCTTCTAGTGTCTGGCTGGCTTGGTGGCTGCCTGGCTTCTGGCCCCAGGCACATCCTTATCTTTCTCCCTCGTTCTCTTCTCCTCCTTCCTTCCTCCCTCTCTCCTAGATTTCTCCTCCTACTTATTTTCTCTACCCACCAGCCTCTCCTATCCTTTCTCTGCCTAGCTATTGGCTGTTCAGCTCTTTATTAGACCAATCATGTGCCTTAGGCAAGCAAGGTGACACAAATGCAACACATCTTTACATAATTAAACAAATGTAACACACCTTTACATTGTTAACAAATGCAGCAGAAAAAAATGTAACACACCTTTACACAGTTAAAGTAATTTTCCACAGCAGAAACAAATGTAACACATCTTTAAATAGTTAAAATAATATTCTACAGCTTTATTGTATGATGTATTAGAATTCATTTATTCTTTAAGGCTGGATAATGTTATTTTGTATGTATAAACCATATTTTATTTATTTATTCACCAGTTAATAGATGTTTGGTTTTGTTCAACTTTGAGCTATTGTGAATAATCTTGTTATGAACATGGGTGTACAGAAGTGTATTTCTGAGTTCCTGTTTTAAATTCTTTTGGATTGATAACCAGAAGTGGAAATTCTGAACCATGTGATAATTATCTTTTTTATTTTTGAGTAACTGCTGTTTTGTTTTCTTTCTTTTTTAATTCTGTAATCTTTCATTTTTTTGAGATTATATGTACCCCTTCTTTTCCCTTCCTCCAAGTCCTCCCAAGTACCACTTGTCACTCTTTTCCAAATGTATGGCCTCTTTTTCTTCAATTATTGTTACATATGTGTGTGTGTATAATGCTGTATTGTCTTCAGTACCAGAATCACCATTTTATGTTTTTACTGACATAAGAATTCCAAGCTGGGTAGTGGTGGCACATGCCTTTAATCCCAGCACTTGGGAGGCAGAGATAGGCGGATCTATGAGTTCCAGGACAGCCTGGTCTGTGGAGTGAGTTCCAGGACAGCCAGGGCTACACAGAGAAACCCTGTCTTGAAAACAAAACAAAACAAACACAAAAAGAATTGCAGTTTTTCTACATACTTACCACCCCCCTGTATTTTCGATTTTTATTTGTATTTTGCTAATCTTTAGTGATGTTAACATCCTTTGAGAAATTATTCAAGTTTTGTACTTTTAAAATAGCTTCTTAGTGGGGTTGCCTGGTT